CTTATTGGCTCTTTACAGTGAGGACGACCAGGAAGTAACAGTTTCAGTGCTGGAACAAAGATGTGAAGGTTCATCTGATTCTCTCTTTAAAAAAGTATGGTAAGCACATGAAATTACAGTACAACCTTGTGCAATTATGCTATCGCTAATGCATATACCTTCTGTTTCATCTAAAAGGAAATTTACGAGATCTCAATGAAGTCAATAGTTGTGTCACCTTTTTTGCTGGTTATCACAATAAAGAAGACATTTATATTCAAAGTAAGACTCTGATCATATCACTAAATTAGCAAATACATTGATTAATATAGATTAATGTAGAGTCATTTGCAGTCAGAATAATAAAGAAAATCATTAAAAGTCAGAAATGCAGAAAGTAAAGAGCTCCAACAATGTCAACTTGGCCTTGAGGCCCATCTATATAGTATTTTCTGTTCCTATTTTTCTTATAAAATATATACTTCCAAATATTACATATTCATTTCTTCAGTTTATAAAATGCAGCTATCAAGCTCTAGACTTATTTGTAACACATTACAATTCTTACAATAGGTAAATCAACCCAATGTATGTATGAAACAAGAAGCAAAATTACACACAAACACCCCCCCCCCCACCAAACATCTTTTGGAAAGTCTACCATTTCTACTAGCTTCTGCAAGAAAACCAATAATAAATAACTAGCCCTTTTGCAACATCAGTAAACATGAGTCCTGACCCCAACGTGGAGATAATGTGCAATCCATGACAAGCACATGCTCTTCTAGTCTATAAAGGCTTGTATACCATGTGGTATCTGAGTTCTTTCTAGTAATGTGTTAAGCAGTGTGAATAATATCTGTCTCAGTTTGTTCTCTCATCCTCTTCCCAGCAGGAGAAGGGTGTATAGTGGAGTTTGTTTTTTGGATGGTTCTTTGTTGGTTTTTTTAAATGTGTTACTATGTAATTATGGTAGAAAAGGCAAGGTCAAAGAACTGTGCCTTCACTGCCCTACCCCTTCAATTCCAGTCCAAAGCTAAAATTTAGACAAGCTTTATGAGTTGAACCAATGTAGCCAGGTTAACATAGGAGTATTAGCTTTCGCATTTTTTCCTCTAACTGTACACCTTTGAACACTGCACTAATGAAATTAGTGAAGCTGCCTAAACCACTAACATACATTAAGTGCACACACCTGTGAAATACAACTCTATAAAAGGGCATCGTTTTCACTTGTGCAAAGTTTTAACATGCAATTAATTCCCCTTCAAATTTGATTCTGGACCTACTCAGAAAGGACTACATACATGCCATTCTTCAGAGTTCTTTGAGTTACCTGTGTGGCTGTTTTTTCCATTCATACAAAATTTGAAAATGGCTGAAGAGATTTTTCCCAGTTTCCAAAATAACGCATCTTTGGCCAAGGCCAAAAACTGAAAGTTTAAACCCCAAAGATGAATTCTCCCAGGAAGATACAAGCTTGTGAAAACCCTGAATCATCTCTGAAACTATTTTGTCTCAAACACAAACACCTCCTTTGGCAGTTTTGTGAATGTAGCCCTTCTTTTCCTCTTACATTAAAAACTGTTTTAAAAAAAGGGTTTGTTCCAGGTCAAACAAAATGTTTCATTCAACACAAAATGAAAATTTTGTTCTTTTTTTGATTCACCAACTTTTTTAGATTTTCAGATCAGGTTTAACTTTTTTCTTTTTTATGATTTTTCAGAATTTCCAGTGAACTTAAAAAAAACACACCAGCTCTAATTCAGACATACGTGGAACCTTACAATGCCATTTTTACCAAGCCCATTTTCAGAGGAAAATTTAACTTATAGCAAGTGAAACTAGCAGAGGTATTTTAAGCATTAGAGATATAGCAAACATAGTATGACCCAAGTATTGCTAGGATTTCTAAAGTTTAGGTTCCCCACCACCACCAATATAAACCATTGCTAATTTTATTATTTTATATTTACCTAGACACACACACCCTTCGTAAAATTTTGCTTTAAATTATAAGGTTTTTTAGTTCACTACTTCATATCCCAGGTTGCATGTTTACTTTGAATGTCTTACTTGGTCTCATGTTGATTTTATTACTTTCCTCTCCAAGCGACATCTTCTAATGTTCGAATCAATAATTCTTCAGAGTTCAGCTTTAGTGCACATTAAATCCTATCTTTAAAGCGTCTTTGACAGCCTTCTAAGTGTAGCTGCATTAAATACTTATTGAAGTATTCAAAATAGGTGTGAGGTTGAAAGGTCCCACTATCATTCTAAAGAGTGAAACATTTCCTTAAAGCAGAAGTGTCACTAAACTAATACATAATGAGGCAAGAGAAGTTATTTTCCCCCTTATGTATTACTAGTACTACTGTGTGCAAGTAGCGTGTGATTTTAATTTAGGTGTACTAATTAATGACATTAAGACCCCCCCCCTTAACTTTTTTTTAAAAAGACGCAAGCAATTTTAATTAAAAAAAATTAACAAAATCTGAGATGTGAAAGGCTAGACAAAAAGTTGTACTTTATAAAGAAGCAGACATTTTAACTTATAGTTTTAATATAGCAATCAAAGAAAATTCCAAATACTGTACAGTGAAGTGTAGTATAGTACACTATATACTGTTATAATACACTATTGTTACATTACAGATAAAAACCAAATGTAATTAGTACAAGAATCACAAATAAAACAAACCAAAATGTGCTGGATAACAGCCAGTGCTGTGAAGATGGTACAATGTCTTACGCTAATTTATTTTTAATTCAACATGTAAAGCACTTACTGTTTAAAAAGATTTGTTTTCTAAATATATACACTATTAATGCTTATTTATACATATTTTAAATAGCATTACCTCCAAATAGTGCACTCTTTTTAGTTTCTTGGCAATAATCCTCAGTAAAAATAAAATAAATCTGAAAATACCAATCATGTTTCAATCTTTTATTGCTCTACCACAGGCATAAGGGCTCAGAGGGAATTCTGCATTCTACAGATTTTAAGCAACATCTTAAAATTTAAAATACTCAGTAACTGATATTCACAAGCAAAACAACATTAAACAGATCACTACTGGTGTTCTTAAACAGGAGGCTCAACTTCATGTTAATATTGTACTACAAATGTATGTAGACTCCATAATTTAAAAAAATTGTCAGGTGCCAAACAAATGTACAAATAATGGCATTTTCCTCATTCACATTTTGTTCAGTTATGCTGTGAAGCATAGTGCTGAAACTCCCACACTTCTAAATATTGAATTGTAATATCCAGCATTTCAGCGTGTTCCAAAGAAAAGGCAGAATTAGTGAGCTAGTCTTAGGGGGCAGTATAGTTTCCCCCACCCTCCCTTTTTTAACCATATTTTGAAGATTTTAAACTAAACACTTTGGTTTTAAAAATACATATATATATATATATACCCTTTGTATGGAGTTAGCACACAGCTTTGAGCCAGTGTACTTCTGTGAAGTTTGCCAGAGTATTCTCTTGGAGGCTACAGAAACCTTGTTTAGACATTAACACAGCCATACCTAAATATCATTCTTACGAACAGCTGTTTTATGTTCACATGCTTGATCTGTGGTTTTAAAAATTCCACATAAGTATTAAACCACACAATAAATATATGTGTAAAATAAAGGACTGCCTTTAATTTCAAATATGATCAGACTCCTTTAAGTTCTGCTATATTTTTACATCTGATAAACTTGAAAAGCTCAAAAAAACCCCAAAAAACCTGTATGAATGAGTGTCTTTGTGATTGCAAAAGGAAAGTTGTGCCAAAGAATGTATTATAGTAACTAATACAGCATTTTAAGAAAGGTATATCAATCTCTACTTCACTCAAGCAAAGAAATGAAATATTAATTCCCAGAGAAATATAACAGTAGCAAGTACTTATTCATAGCCAACCATTATAACAATACCGTTAAAATCTTGCATTTGGCTGGAAAGCTAACTGCATACTGTACTCCAGTGGTTTCCAGTGTGCATACCGATATTGATTCAAAAGCATTTGTCCAATAGTCTGGATTTCAATCTCTATGTTAGCAAGTCTTTGCACTGGGCCCTGGCATATTGCCATTGCCACTGCCTGCCTTGCCTCTCATTCAAATTACATACATTAACCAGCAACAGAGCTTGGGATGCTCCAAAACTTAGTCTAATTTGTCATGCACACTGAGTAAAAGTTGGCAGGCTCTGGCTGGGATAGTAACTGGTACAGTTGTCCCAAAATGTGGGAACCGCTACTGAATTTCACACTGGTGACTCTGTAGTAAGTACTAGTAGACCTGATGATAAACAATACTGACTGATCTTTGCACCTTTAGAGAGAAGCCCTAGTCACACAGCTTTATTAACCACTATTATTTTACTAAAGCTCTCCTCCCACCAGCATGCATCCCCCCACCCAGCATTTCCCTGACACTCTTAGGGAAAGATGACAAGCACACAAGTGGCAGAAAAACAGGCACATATATCTCTCAAACTATATTTGCTTCTATTAGGCCCACTAGAGTTCAGATGAAACACTCTCCCAAACTTACAAGTTTCAGTGCTCTTTATTTATTTTCTTTCATACGGATACACACCTCCCCAGGTGTAGATGAAATCTAACTTCATTTTGGATATGTTGGAAACTGATGTTTAAATGCATCAGAAAGTTAAATGAAATAAAGAAAACTGCAAAGAAATATGCACATTTATTGCAAGCTTGCATGAAACTAGGGAAGCTCACATCAAGCTAAAAAATGAGCTTCAATTACAGTTCTCATGCATCCTGGAGTTTTATGAACATTTAACTATACCTTCTTCATATTTCTTTATTTCACAAAGTGAAGGGTTCTGAAAGACATGATTGTTGATGGGTCCCAGACACATGACACTAATTGTGGGCCAAAAACAAAGAATGAATAATCTGCATCTATGTAATTTCTGTTCATATAGGACAGATGTGTGGAAAGATTTAACAAAATAAACCAAACAAAATCCAAGTCAAAACTGTTCTAAGTCTTCCTCTTCAAGCAATAAGATGTGCACACACACCTACTTATGCAGTCCCCCTGAAAATGCAATAGGTAGCTGACAGGTACACACCATCCCTCTGAATAGGATTAAGAAAGAATGGGGTGTAATAAATTTAAAAATGCATAGAAATACCTCGTTCTCCCCCAACACCCTACACATACTTTACTTATGGGGAAGGTTTCTCTCTCCTTTTCCTTGAAGAGATTTTAGTGTGTGTTTAAGAAATTCTTATATCAGCTAGATTCACTAAAATCCAAAGCCACCCACGTACCTCTTCTCTCAACCCTGCTCATTTATAGTGATTTCTGGGAACACTATACTGCTGCTTGTCCCTTTTTCTAACACCTCTCACCATGTGGAAGCTTGTGCTTCTGTCTCCACATTCCATTTCTGTCTCTAGCCTCCAAACAGCTAGGCTGCAGCAATGGACACTAATACAACATCTGAGGTTATGGCAAGCTTCCAGCTGCTGCATGTGCATCCTATTTCTCATTGGATAAGCACGGTCAGTTAATCAATACACCAAAGAGGTCAATTTTGGTGCCAAGTTTACTTCACGTATTGCAATTCTCAACCAAATGACTAAGTTAGCAAAAGGATATCTTTTAAATTAGCATTTATTCATGAAAAGGTGATTTTTGTGTTTCATATGTAAGTAGTGCACTACCTTATTAAATATTTGTTCCCTGTATGAAAAGAGAAAGCCAATATATGATGTTTTAATTACTAGTAATTTAACTAAATTGGGACTATATTTTAAGTGACTTGCTTCAGGTACTTTTCCATATAAAAAAATATGTCCTCCCTTAATTAGGGCATTCTATCATAACGGTGCTTAGAATTTGTTTCTGTTGATGTGACTATAAATGTAAAAAGTAAGGAGATATTTTTCTGAATACAAACATGTTTATAATAAAAACTTACTATCTGTGGAACTAGTAAAAACCCATGTGTGTACACAAACAGACTTCAAGATCTAAATGTTCTGAATTCCTTTGAGGCTGTTTTAACACCTTTTGCCTAATCCACTTTAGCTTAAATCAGAGGAAGCAGCAATAATGCACTTAAAATATGAATATACAAGTAGAAGGCAAAGTGAAATATCAATATAAAGATAAACATTCCATCTTTATGGAGCACGCACAGCGGCTGCTTAAGAACTAGCACTGTAGATCTGATGATATGCTACTTAAGCGGATACCAGCTTTATCATGAACTGATGCAGGGAATTTTGCATCACAAACTGAAGAGAAACCAATAGAAACAGTAGTCTTTATGGGCATTGAAACAGTACATATTTCCTGTTTCCATGGAGTTTAAAAAATGAGCTTCTAGAAGCTCAACTATCACTGGAGAACAGTTTAGAACAATGCAACTCATTCAAGAGCTATTTCTTTCTAGTGAATTCTGTTAATTCCTCATGCTCTGAAAATATTAGCCATTACTTAACTATAGCCACCATTTACCAGTGCTAATAATCAAAATCTTTAAGAACTGATTTGCTATTGATCTGTTGTAACTTCTTACAACACTTTCCAACCTCTTTCTCCCATACCCTAATATCAAAAAAATTGCATGGCAAAAAAGTGCATGCTATCACTTACTAAGAGAGCACTGAAATGGCTGTGTTGGCTCAGACAGCCATGCGTAACTGCACCGCATTCGCTTTGTCTTCATCTTACACTAAGTAGCCTTTTTTCTAATCTTGCTCAAACTGACAATATGAAGAAGTTAGAGAGACCTTAATTATAGTTACTCTTATTCCAAGGTTCTGACAAGCACATACAGGAATATGGATGCAAAAGTGTTTAAATCTAAGGGAATGCCAGCATCATGTAATTAAAGTGTTGTATATATTGTTTTATGAAGTTTAACATACAATTTAATTTCAGTTGCTCTTCTGAAATTAATGTAAATGTCTGTTTACACTATAATTTTGAGTGGACACAGACTTCTGGGATAACACATTAACTTTGTCAATTTTATATTTTTGCTCTGTTCTAGCCTTTTTGGTAATCTTAAACTAGCACTAAGAATCTCACATGGGCTTAAATTTTAAGACTTTCATGGAATTAAAATTACAAAGAACTTTCAATAACCCACATCTACAGCAGATATTCATCTCAGTGCATTCTCTAATAGCTAATTTACAGGTCACTGAGAGCCAGCCTGGGCAGCAGCATGGAATATTAAAAGCTATTGCCAGTCACACACTTGCTATCATGCACTGGATAAGAAGATATAATCTTTGAAACATACAAGATTTAATGACTAATCATTTTATGTGGCCCAGCCAACAAACATTACATTTGAACAGTAATCTCTATCCTTATCAGCTTTCAACCAATCAAGAGTGATCCATCGGCTCAGTTGTATTAGCAATTCCTGCATCTTGACTATCCATCTCCTCAGCCTCCTCAACAGAATTTCCTTTTTGTGCTTTAGGTCTTGTGTGGAATGTTGCTCCCATTGAATTTACCACATTGCCAGCAGTTGTTTCTGTATTTGAATGTTCAGTGCCACCTGTTACGGAAAAAGATTCTGGCAAATTAGCCTGAATGCTGCCAGTTTTAGGTGATGAACTCACCGCTTCTACTTTCCTTTGTGGCAGATCGATTGATGCTGACTGCTCTGCATTCTGATCCCGCAGGTGTCTGTCCATTGATGCCTGAATAGAAGAAACCATTTCCTGTAACTTTTTTCTCTGTGCCTCAATCAAGGTAGGGTCAAGCTGCCTGCTGTCTCTCATTGTCACTACTCCAGGAGCTATGCGGATAAGCTCACTGTTACCAGAAGCAGCTGTGAATATAGAAGGCTCTATTTTAGTGGGACTGGGATTGAAGTCTGTTTCTGTGTTATGCTTTCTTAAAAGTGGTGTTTCCCTGGATTTCTGATCAAGTTGTTGGCTACTAGATGCAGTTCCTAGTGAGTGGCCCTTTCCTTGAAATGCAGTTACATTATGCAGTTGCTCAGACTTCTTTTTTACTACTCCACCGCTACCTAATTTCAGAAGTCCATGTGAAGGACTTGATTCCCTGCTTCTTGAAGTAGCCTCTGCTCGTACTTGACTTAATGCCTCTTTAACCAAGTCTTCAACATCAGGACCAATAGGGAAATGCCCAGCAGCATCCACACACAGCTCTAATCTATCTTCTGCTGCATTATACACAAAGTTTTTACCAGGCAGATATGGAAAAGTACAGTGCTTGCCATCAGCCAGACCTATAGAAAAGATAGGGGGGAAATCAATAATGTTATTAAGACAGACCATTTTTTCTAAAAACATACTTATATTATGCCATCAAATTCAAAATATTAGTTATGGTATCAGAAAACGGTAAAGTGATTATAGTAGACCTATTCAAGTGTGATCAGATGATTTATGCAGGCTTTTCCTGCAGTGACCACCACATTAGGAGTAAACATTCTGTGCTGCTTTACAGCAAACACACAAAGATGCCCCACAACAGGTTGGAACAAAGAATACATGGCAAGATATACAACTGTAATGTGTTATTTGCTTACTCCACAGAGATGGTGAGGTATGAAGCTGAAAGCTGCAGAATATGCTTCCAAGACTCAAATAAATGCTAAGAACCAAGACAACTAATGGATAGGCTGCAAACAGCTGATTTCAGGGCAAGGAATTTATTTTCAGAAATGACTTCATTTTTAAATAATGCAGCTTTTGAACACAAGTTCTAAGTTTCAAGAAGCTGACTCTGATTTAGTGGTAGAGTATGTACTACCACACAGGATTAGAATTCAAGTCTGAATACCAAAGGCTGGGTAATGCTTTTTAGGTAACACGCTGAGTGTCTGGAGGATGTCCCCCAATGAGGACCCTATCTAACAGTTTTAGGAGCAGAAGGTGAAGTTTTCAAAAGCACCTAAGTGACTAAGGATCCTAAATTTCAATGAAAGTCAATATGACATAGGCTCCTCCTACGTGCCTAAATCACTTTTGAAAATGGGACTTAGATGCTTTTAGAAATTTGATCCAGGGTCTTTTAGTATTCTCTCTCAGATTGTAAACTCTTTGGAGCACAGATTTTCTGTCTTTATAAATCAGACAGCACTGATCGTATTGTCATCACTAAACAAACAAAAGATTGAGAGAGTCATATTAGCTGGAGCAATAGTTACCACAACATGGGGATGAATAAAAGATAGGCAAATAAAGGGAGAATCCTCAAGTATCAGAAGACCATCTTCACAGGGCAAGGAAGAGAGTTATACAGATCACAGCATACAATCATTTTCTGAAATTCTAGCAATTTTGAAGAGATCCAGTTTTCCTTAAATTGTTCTAGTGTCTTGTGTGTAGAGGCAGCACAGCTTAGGTTAAAGCAGCCAGTTTCATAAGAGCATCTACAGGATCCTAACACTGCTTTTGGTTTATATTAAGTTAACATTAAATAACTAGTAAGGCACTGTTGAATTGGGGATAGTCTAAAACAGTGTTTCTCAACCCATGGGCCATGACCCAAAAATGGGTCACAAGAACATATGAAAGGGTTGCAAACAAATTTTAAAAATAGATCATATTTGGATACTTTTTTTTTTTTTTTTTAAATAGATGCCACTTGTGCTTTACCGTATGTTAACACTGTGCATACCAATGGTATTGCCACCCTTCCTTCTGCTGGTGGTGGCGCTGCCTTCAGAGCTGGGCAGATGGAAAGCAGCAGCTGCTGGCTGGGTGGTATGGTATTGCCACCTTTACTTCTGTGCTGCTGCTTGCAGCAGCTTTAACTTATTATTTCTATTGCTGTTATTATTACATGTAGGGGGTAATAAGTATTTTGTGGCCAAAATACTTGTGTTTTCTACTTAAGCTATTTACTGGGTCAGTATTGGCCATCAATGTTTACAAATGGGTCCTGGTCCAAAAAAGGTTGAGAACCAGTGGACTAAAACATGCAAGTGTTCAATATAGAATGGCATGAGCCCACAAGAACATTTCCAGATGAGTATTACAAGGAGGCAGCAATTTGAAATAAAATTAACTATAAACTGAGGCCAGACAGAGGTAAAATGTCAAAAAATTTAGTCAATTTTTTCCAGTCAGAGACCTGTAGTAGATATACAAATCTAGCAACTGACAGGGGTATGTCTACACTGCAGTTAGACACCCGCAGTTGACCTGTGCCAGATGACTCGGGCTCACGGGGCTCAGACTAAGAAGCTGTTTAACTGCAGTGTAGACATTCTGGCTCAGGCAGTTGCCCGAGCTCTGGGACTCTCCCACCTTGCAGGGTCCTACAGCTCAGGCTCTAGCCTGAGCCAGAACATCTATACCGCAATTTAACAACCCCTTAGCTCAGATCAGCTGGCACAGACCAGCTGCAGGTTTTTAATTGCATTGTAGACATACCCTCAGTCATTAGAAGTAGGAGGGCAGGGAGTGTGTGCTATCAGGAAGGTTTCTATATTACTGGGTTTTTGGGAGGATTTTAGTAAGCTGTGTTCCCGACAGCATTTAGGCCTCAAGAATATGGATTTTAATAGTTAAATATCTTCTTCTCAGAAAGAGAAATGTCACTGAGTCACAGAATGATGTCTCAGTCCACTACATGCAGTGAGCCTACAAAGTTGTGTGTGGATTTTGTTTTTTGTTTGTTTGTTTGTTATTAAAGAAACATGATTTGTGTTATAAAACTATGTTTGGTGATCTACTGCTCCATTGCCCATCTGATTCTGCAGTGTTCCTGCCAGGGCTGGTTCAAGCAAGGTTGGAGTGCCATGCAGTCATTTTGATTGAGCTTCCAAGCTGTTGTGTAGAAGAAGGGGATATATCCCAACTTCTCATAATGTTCTAGTTGTCACCACAGAACAGACTTGCATGAGCTATTCTGTGTTACATGCAGTGCTGGACTGTAAGCAATAAGACAGCATTTTAGTGTTGGTGGGGCCCTGTGGCTTAGGGACCATCCGTCAACGAAGACTTTGCAGCACTGCCTGAGCCAGTTCTGTTCACTGCAATTCTTGTAATAGACCTACAAAATTTACAATATCAGAAAAGCGGCAAAAATTGGCATATTTGTGGCATTTTCTTTATATGCTCTTGCAATTCTTGAGGGAAAAAAAGCAGAAATTATTCAAGGTAGAAAAATACAAAAACACACAATTTCTTTATATCAAACAGAATGAAGTCAAGCAAGTATTTTGGGAGCATCAACAAAAAAGGCACTAAAATAATTTTAAATATGTTAAATTCATTGTTTAACATTGAACACGGAAAAGACAATGACAAGTATAAAAAGTTGATCACTTATTACAGATCAAGTCAGTCAATATAAGGGCCTATTTGGCTGAAAATATCCTCCACTGCTACTGGTCCAGAGACCTGCAGAGGTGGCAGGCCAAATTCGGTCTTCAAAAAAAATGACATGCACACAGCTCCCATGATGCCAGTGGGAGATACACACCTTCACATATACCCAAGAGCAGAATTTGGCCTCAAATTGCTACCCTCCTCAGTGGCCTCTAAGAGCTTCAGGAATTAAACATCTCTGTCTTTCCAGTCAGACTTAACACACCTGGATTTATATACGCGCACACACACCAATAGTGTCAGGTTCTTGAGATTAAAATAAGAGACCTCTAACGCACATGCTCATGATATTTCCCAAATCTCTCAATTTGAATGGGTTCTTCCCTAACTCACTGAAGATCACTCATCTGGAGTGTATATGGACCCAGAGACATTACACTCATTTCTTGATGACAGGATTGTTCCAGAGGTAAGCCTGATGAAATATGGAGCTATGCAGTTCAAGAAACAGCTCATATGCTTGAGTTCTTTCTTCACTGGTTCTGCAACTTTCATCTAGTCTTAAGAATGTTTCCATAGCAAACTATTTACTCTGAATAAGTGGTCCTGCGGTTTGAAGGCCATGGATAGGATCTGAGAGATTAACTGTATCTATATGCCACTATAAAACTTGATTTTGTATTACTATCACTTACAGAACTTAAAAATACGTGCACTCCTGTTTCTCATTTGAACTGATGATACAAAAATTACAGCTTTAACTTCCCTAGCTTGCACAAAGGAGTAAGTTCCTTCACTGTGTATTACTAGTTACATGACCATAGCAATTTAAAATATCCATACCACTTCAAAGCATTATTTGTAATATAATGTTGATACTTATCCTATTTGCCTACCGTCTTAGACACTAATACTGGAAAAATAATTCATGGCAATGCAGCAACATTCAAATACAAAAGGTGTCTCTCCCCTCACTTTCTTTTCACGTTTCCTTAGTTGGCAATAGTGACTTCTGGGTCAGGCATTTCCTGTCAGTTAATCACCAGCTGGTGTTTGCCTTTAACGCAGGGCCTCAATTCCAGGTGGTTATTAATGAGGGAGGAACAACAATATCAGGAACTGTGGAAATGGCAGAAATGCTAAATGACTTTTTTGTTTCAGTTTTCACCAAAAAGGTTAGTAGTGATTGGATGTCTAATATAGTGAATGCTGGTGAAAATGAGATAGGATCAGAGGTTAAAATAAGGAAAGAACAAGTTAAAAATTACTTAGACAAGTTAGATGTCTTCAAGTCAACAGGGCCTGATGAAATACATCCTAGAATACTCAAGGAGCTGACTGAGGAGATTTCTGAGCCATCAGCGATTATTTCTGAAAAGTCATGGAAAACCAGAAAAATTCCAGAGGACTGGAAAAGGGCAAATACAGTGCCAATCTATAAAAAGGGGAATAAGGACAACCCGGGGAATTACAGACAATTCAGCTTAACTTCAGTACCCGGAAACATAATGGAACTAATAATTAAGCAATCAGTTTGAAAACACCTAAAAGATAATAAGATAAGTAACAGTCAGCATGGATTTGTCAAGAACAAATAGTGTCAAACCAACCTAATAGCTTTCTTTGACAGGGTAACAAGCCTTGTGGATAGGAGCAAAGCGGTAGATATGGTATATCTTGACTTTAGAAAGCCTTTTAATAAATGAACAATGGAAATACAACCTATATGGAGATACTCGAAGGTGGGTGCCAGTGCTTAATTTGTGCCAGGGCTTGCCAGGACTGAGCCCCAGCACCAATGGGCTTGGCACGTCAGTTATGAATGTAAAAGAACTGCTTGAGTCCTGGCACTTCTTTCATTACAAATTAAGCATTGGTAGGTGCTTAACTGGTTGGAAAACCATTCCCAGAGAGTAATCAGTGGTTCACAGACAAGCTGGAAGGGCATATCAAGTGGAGTCTCGCAGGGATCATTTCTGGGTCTGGTTCTATTCAATATTTTAATCAATGATTTAGATAACATCATAGAGAGTACACTTATAAAGTTTGCAGATGATATCAAGCTTGGAAGGGTTGCAAGTGCTTTGGAGAATAGGATTAAAATTCAAAATGATCTGGATAAACTGGAAAATGATCTGAAGTAAATAGGATAAAATTCAATAAGAACAAATGCAAAACACTCCACTCAGGAAGGAACAATTAGTTGCACACATACAAAATGGGAAATGACTGCATAGGAAGGAGTACTGCAAAAAGGAATCTGGGGGTCATAGTGGATCACAATCTAAATATGAGTCAAAAGTGTAACACTGTTCCAAAAAAAGCAAACATCATTCTGGGATGTATTAGCAGGAATGCTGTAAACAAGACAAGAAGTAATTCTTCTGCTCTACGCTGCACTGATTAGGCCTCAACTGGAGTAATGTGTCCAGTTCTGGGTGCCACATTTCAGGAAAGATGTGAACAAATTGGAGAAAGTCCAGAGAAGAGCAACAAAAATGATTACAGGTCTAGAAAACATGACTTATGAGGGAAGATTGAAAAAAAGTGTGTGTGTTTAGTCTGGAGAAGAGAAGACAGATAGTGGACATGATAACAGTTTTCAAGTACGTCAAAGGTTGTTACAAGGAAGAGGGAGAAAAATTGTTCTCCTTAACCTCTGAGGATAGGACAAGAAGCAATGGACTTAAATTGCAGAAAGGGTGGTGTAGGTTGGACATTAACCACCCTGACAGGAAGCTTTTTCTAAGGTGGAATAAATTGCCTAGGGAGGTTGTGGAATCTCCGTCATTGGAGATTTTTAAGAGCAGGTTAGACAAACACCTGTCAGGGATGATCTAGATAATATTTAGTCCTGCCATGCGTGCAGGGGACTGGACTAGACCTCTTGAGGTACCTTGCAGTCCTACGATTCTGTGATTCTATAATTGCCCCGAAACATCCTCTCCATCAGCCATTGTTAGAACAAATTCACTAGCTACACACAATATACCATTCTCCACAGCATAGATTAAGCATGCAAAAAGATGGAAAACCAGAAAGAAACAGATTGTCATAAGATACTTGTCTACAAGTTGTTGGTGCCAAGATTAAGAATTAAGTTGAAAATAGAGGGTATGAAATATCACTGAAGTATTAATGAACTTTACAGATTTGTGTAGAAGAGAATGGGATGAGTTGTGTAGTCTTTATTAATTATAAATCATGCTCATTGTTGTAGGGCTGTCTCAAAGCAAAAACACATTTTTCTATACACTATGATAAAAGTGTATTTAACATACAATGAAGAGATGATTGATGTGGTACAGCTGTTTCAAGCCAGAATCAAGAGTTTAGCTGAGATTGGTAAAACAGAATCTAGAAATAAATCAAGTGGTGAGAAAGCAGAAGAGTGGGTGCTACACTGTAGATGACACCACAAGAACTAAGTTGTACTGTGAGTGCAAAGTCTTGGGTAAGAAAAGCCTAATATTTCAGAGAAGGAACTTAAAGAGAATCAGGTACTATTAATAGCATAACTTCTCAAAAGGAAACATTATTTCACTTGTAGACAACTGTTTTCTCAGATTCTAAAATTAGTTTCTGAAGAATATAAATTTGTTCTATCTTCTTGCTTTGGTCTTTAACACGTCAGATTATTGGCATTTTCAACAATACAAGAACATCCACTTCATATATGGAAACGAACTAACAATATCACCTATGCATTTTAGAGCATGAAGAACAGAACTTTGAAAGCCTTTATATATGAAAAAAAAGTCACTATTTCCTCAGTCTGCAGCCTCATGCCATGCAAAGTTATGAAAACCATGGCACTTAAACCCAGTTATCTTGCATTCAGCAAAGAAGAGCAGCTAACATACAGAAACTATTTTCCTTATTTATGCAGCTCAGGAAGCTTAACTGGAGATACATAGCTAGGGCCCTACCAAATTCGTGGCCATGAAAAACACATCACGGACTATGAAATCTGGTCTTTTGTGTGCTTTTACCCAATACTATACAGATTTCATGGGGAAACACCAGTTTTTTCTCAAATTGGGGGGCCTGACCCAAAAGGGAGTTGCAGGGGGAAATCGCAAGGTTATTTTAGGGGCATCACAGTATTGCCACCCTTACTTCTGCGCTGCCTTCAGAGCCGGGCACCCAGCTCTGAAGGCAGCGCCCTGCCAGCAGCAGCACCAAAATAAGGGTGAGAATACCATACCATGCCACCCTTACTTCTGCGCTGCAGCCTTCAGAGCTGGGCAGCCGGAGAGTGGCGGCTGCTGACGATGGCCCAGCTCTGCAGGCAGCAGCATAGAAGTAAGGGTGGCAATACCATACCATGCCATCCTTACTTCTGTGCTGCTGGCTCTGCCTTCAGTGCTGGGCTCCCAGCCAACAGACACTGCTCTCCAGATCCCCAGCTCTGAAGGCAGCGGCACCGTCAGCAGCAGTACAGAAGTAAAGGTAGCAGTACTGCAAGCCCCCCTATAATAACCTTGTCACCTTTCCCCCGCCCCCCCCCAACTCCTTTTTGGGTCAGGACCCCTACAATTATAACACTGTGAAATTTCAGATTTAAATAGCTGAAATCATTAAATTTGCAATTTTTAAAATCCTATGACCGTGAAATTGACCAAAATAGCCCATGAATTTGGTAGGGCCCTATACATAGCTGTACAGAGACAATTTTAGAATTAAAACTTAACTCTGGGTAACTTTCCTTCATGACTGTGTAATTTTACCTAGAAACAGCTACCAACCTTCATAACCTCAAAATATTTTACACAATTACCAGGCTTACTGCTATTGGAAAGTATCAGAGGGGTAGCAGTGTTAGTCTGGATCTGTAAAAAGCAACAAAGAGTCCTGTGGCACCTTATAGACTATAAGGTGCCACAGGACTCTTTGTTGCTATTAGAAAGTATCCCATACATAATTACTTTATTATACCCAGATTAAGTTTTAAAATAAATATTATTTAGTCATGTAAACTATCTTTAGGTTGCTACGTTGTGCCCATCACTATGGCATCTGAGCACATTCTATTCTATTAGTAAGAATGTAGGGAAATTACAGAAAAGGCCCAAAACAGTGTTCTATTGGCAATCACTGGTAGGGTTTGCCTCTTCACTGCTGGTTTCTTCTGCAACCTAAGAAGCAGTATAAAATGCAGCTGCAGACTCTGAAGTGCTAATGTTACAGTGAATCAGTACTTTGAGGGGGAAGAATGGGTGGTCACAATGGAGATGTGATTTGCTCCAGATTCTATGGGATTTTCAGACTCTTAACACTTAGCCACTTATAGCTGGTTCCCCCTGTAAGATGTAAGAATTTCAGAATCCTGCCAAGTGCCATGCCATTTTTAAGGAGAAAGTTTCTTGGAGAAATTCAGAAGGGTTGTTTCCATGACTGAGAAAGATTGATTTCAAGTGACTAAGCAAATCTGCTCCACATGACTAACAAGAACCGGAGCCAGTTTGTAATCCCACAGACAACTGTTGGTAACCCCCTTTGTGAATCACAATCCATATGTTGAGAACCCCTACTCTAAAAAGTTACAAAGTAGTATTTCAAGAAATAGAGGCATTTATTCAAGCTACCATGAAAACCAACTATCGGTTGGTTCAGTTTATATGATTGCAGTTCCTGTGTTAAAGTTAGTGAAAGAAAGTGAATATGTACCTGGTGCATTTTAATTGTGTTTTAAAAACCAAGCAAATGAAAAGACTCTTGCTAAACCTTGGTTTTTTGGACACAATCATCATCTACACATGCAAGTTCCAAGCCTAGGCTCTGGGGTTTCCATGGTTCAGCAGTCACAGATCTAAATGTTTGATGCGTGAAGTCCTACAGATTTAAATAATTTTAACCTGAACATGTTGTTTAAAATGTTGTTTTCTCAAATAGCATGCTTTTTACTGCATTGTCCCCCTATTTTGGTACTTTACTAATTTTTTCCATTTAATTTATTCTAAGAAATGAGGGAGCATTAGAAGTTGGTATGGCATTATTAAATTGAGAGAATGTGTTATGGCAGTGCAGCTTAAGATCTTGACTATATTAAAAAATACAAATTTAGGATGCTTGAGGTGCAAATACCTCAGTATCAATTTTCTCATTCTTAATGATTTGAGAAGATACACTCCAAGATTTTAATAATTTTAACCTCAAAGTTAGAAACAAACTGTACCGGTAGTTTTCTTCATTATGCTGTAGAACACCCCACCCTGCTGAAACAAGTGAGGAAGCCCCTTTGCATATGACCAAACATCTTCTCCTGTAAGACAAAAAATAGAGTAATAGTTAGAAGCAAGCAGTCATATTTAATGACACAGGGTAAAATTTTCAATAGTCACTGTTTGATTTATGCCAGGGCTTACCAGGGCTGAGCCCCAATACCTCTAGGCGTGGCAGTTCATAGCCCCGGACCTCTGGGCTTGCTGCATCAGTTATGAATGTAAAAAAATTGCTTGAGCCCTGGCACCTCTTTCATTACAAATTAAGCACTGTCAAGAGTGTCTAAGGGATTTAGAAACTTAAGGCTTATTGAAAGATGATAGGACTTAGCACCCAAAGTAACTTAGGTCCTTTTGAAAAATGTTACCAACAGTCCAGACACAAGTACTCTTTACACTTAAGAACACAAATAGAAAGGAAACATTAACCCTGGTGTCCCAGCCATCTCCTAACTCAGGTGGCACGATTTTATATCTCATTCAAAGGATACTACCTTTAACAGTGCAGCATCTCTTAGGACTGTAGAGAGGCAGCATAGTTTAGCACGGACCATGCAAGGGTCTGGAATCCCAGAAACCCTGGCTTCTGGTCCCAGCTCTGCCAATGATTTAAGAAGGGAGCCCAGCAAGTCAGTTAATATCTCTGCTTCTATTTCCCATCTGCAAAATAAAGAAAATGTCAACCACTTACCTGCCTCACAGGAATGAGAAGTGATTTAATTAGCATTGTACTGTGACCAACTAGGTCAATAGACATTATTACTGCCCTATACAGGGCTTTGGAGCTGTGCTCCGGCTCCGCTCCAGCTCCAGGCAAAAACCTGCAGCTCCACTGCTCCGCACTCCAGCTCCGGGCTCTGCTCCAAAGCCCTGCCTATCAGTATTTAGTATCAGCCCAAATTCTGGAGTGGAACTTGAACCCAATCTTCTGGCCCAAAAAAAACTTAAACTGGACAATTAATTTTTTCATTCTAAAAAAGTGAAATGGAAAAGTTTTCAGAGACTTAAAAAGGAAAAAAATAGTCTAAGAGCCGCCTTCTGCAGATCTTGCATTCTAAACAGCCACGTATTTCTCTGTCTTAACTCTCCATCAAATCTTGTCAGCTGAAGCAATGTCAAATAATAAATAGCACCAAGGAAATAAGTTAACTGTATCTGCTATTTGGGGAGACAGTATGTTTGAAAGATGCCATAAAATATCACCCTTCAGTACTTTTTCAGTCAGTAGGGGATACAAGCTAAAACATAAAGTAAGGTAAACTAGAGAGTAGCACACTTCATAGCTTCTTTAGGCTGAGCTCATTACCCACACCAGGCGCTTCTTGCATTCCTCTATGTCCCCACCCTTGTTCACAAGCTCCATGCGTGCTAGCCTCCCATCCCCCTTAATTTCAGGGACTCCCTGCAATTCCCTCCCAACCTACCCATGCTAAGAGCTCCCTCCTTCACCACATGGCAGGTGTTCTGTGTGTCACCCATTAGGCCACCCCCCAAGCCAGGGGCTCCACGCATGTCCCATTCTCCCAGTCCCACTTTCTCCTCCACTCCCATTTTTATTTCTTTTCTTTCTGTTTGGGAGAGAAAATCATTTAGGGTGGCAGCATTTTAAAACTACTGGGAAGCGAGGCAGAGTTGAGATGGTGAGGTATTGTTATGCTAGAAGTCAAGTATCAGGAGGTAGCCATATTAGTCTGTATCCACAAAAACAAGGAGTCCAGTGGCACCTTAAAGACTAACAGATTTATTTGGGCATAAGCTTTCGTGATCGAAATGGCCCTGTCAACACTGGTTCTCCATTTGTGAGGTAACTCCCTTCTCTTCATCTGTCATTATATAATGCCTGCATCTGTAATTTTCACTCCATGCATCTGAAGAAGTGAGGTTTTTTACCCACGAAAGTTTATGCCCAAATAAATCTGTTAGTCTTTAAGGTGCCACCAAACTCCTTGTTGTTTTTATGCTAGAAGTTGTTAATGCCTGTCATCAACCAGATCTTTGATCTATAGACCCTTGCAGAGGGGGTTGAAGCTAATGCTCAATGTGTCCACACCCACACCCACCCTTTGCTTTTTCTGATTTTCACAAAAATCAATTGGGGTCTGACAACTGATGCCTAGACCATTCCCTGAAATTCTGGAATTGATCAGATGCACTGTTCAAAAATTATCATGTTACAAATAGATAGAAATGCCATTGAGTTGAGCAGAAACCTTGGTTCTCTCAACCGACAAATAGGATGACACACTATTGCTTCTGTTCAAATATTTTCTCACCTATTTTTTAAAAAAAATACTTTCTATCACTTCAATCAGAGAAGTTGCCACTACTCTTTTAGAAGCAATTATATTATAAGATTTCACAGTTCCTGCAATGCAAGCTCCACAGATCTAGGCAAGTCTTAGGGCACATTTTCACTGGCAGCGCTTTAATGCTGTTTAGTCGCAACATAGCACTGGGAGAGAAAAAAACAAAACAACACACACACACACACCCCTCCACGAGGGGGAATAGCTCCCAGCGCTGGTGCACTGTCTACACTGGCACTTTACTTGCAGCGCTCAGGGGGGTGTTTTTCACACCCCTGAGCAAGAAAGTTGTAGGGCTGTAAAGTGCCAGTGTAGACAAGCCCTTAAGTTATCCAAACAAAAATGTTAGCAGCTAGTAGAAAAACGATCTGATACACCTCTACCTCAATATAACACTGTCCTCGGGAGCCAAAAAATCTTACCGCATTATAGGTGAAACCGCGTTATATTGAACTTGCTTTGATCCACCAGAGTGCGCAGCCCCGTCCCCCCCGGAGCACTGCTTTACCGCGTTATATCCGAATTCATATTATATCGGGTCATGTTATATTGAGGTAGCGGTGTATTTAAAACTCACAGTTTTGCCATGATCATGAACTATGACACTGTAAGCTCTTTGGGGTAGGGAGCGTCTTTCTGTTCTGTTTGTAAAACACCTAGCACATTGTAGTCCTGGTCCATGACTGAGACTTCTAGGTGCTATGATAATACAAATTAATAATAATAATATTCTAAAGACAACAATCCAAGATAATGTTCCAAATTTTAATCAATAAGGTTGCAGAATGTATATGAACTAAAACAGACCAGATTAAATGGCTTTAATGCCATACTTCCATATCCATCTGCTTTTATGATGGTTTGAAATCAAACAATTTAACACTTCAACAAATTCCATTGCACTTCTTAAAAAAAAAAAAAAAACTCACTTTAAAAAAAGTGTATTTTCCCTACTCTTTGTAGTCAAAGGCTGAAAGGTGTTTTTTGCACAAACTTTCCAGAGTTCATCCTCTGGCTGAGAGCAGAACTGGCAAATTTCATCCTGGCAGGTGAAAGTTATATGCAACTCATACATGCCATTTACAATGAAAAATATTTATGCAACCTTAACTATAGGTCTTGCTATATTGCATCTATAAAAAGCTGCCCCTACTAAAAAAAAAATAAGAGGAAGTTTAAGAAGGCTGGTAGTTGATGAGGTTCCAAATCAAGAAGACTGTTTCTTGATTCTAAATACCTGTTCAAAGCCAGCAAATACCTAGTATCTCAAGTGAAGCACTGATGGAGATTGTCAATGGGCCCAAAGTCCCTTTGGCTGGTTTTTACTAATCATAAAGACCATGGAACCATCTCATAGATCAGAGGTTGGCAACCTATGGCCCGGGGGCGACATCCGGCCCTTCAGACATTTTCATTTGGCCCTCGAGCTCCTACCGGCTGGAGAGCGGGGTCCAGGGCTTGCCCCGCTCCGGCGCTCCAGCCAGGGGCTTGCCCCACTCCGTGCGTGCTGTGGCTGCGTGCGGCTCCTGGAAGCAGCGGCATGTCCCCCCTCCAGCTCCTATGCGTAGGGGCAGCCAGGTGGCTCCGCATGCTGCCCCTGCCGAGAACCGCGGCCAATGGGAGCTGCAGGGGCGGCACCTGCAGACAGGGCACAGAGGAGCCGTAGGGGAGACATGCTGCTGCTTCCAGGAGCTGCTTGATGTAAGCACCACCTGTAGCCTGCACCCCTGACACCCTCCCGCACCCCAAACCCCTACCCCAGCCCTGATCCCCCTCCTACCCTCTGAACCCCTTGGTCCCAGCCCAGAGTACCCTTCTTCCCCCCCAACGCCTCATCCCCAGCCCCACCCCAGAGCCTGTAGCCCCAGCCCAGAGCACCTTCCTGCACCCTGAACTCCTCATTTCTGGCCCCATCCCGGAGCCCTCACCCCCTCCTGCACGCCAGCTGGAGCCCTCACCCCCTACCACACCCCAGCTCCCAATTACTTGAGCATTCATGGCCCACCATACAGTTTCCATACCCAGATGTGGCCCTTGGGCCAAAAAGTTTGCCCACCCCGTCATAGATGGTTGCTCACCTCTCTAAGTGCACCCCAAATCTTGGAAAAGCTAACAAAATACAGTAAATATTCTTGCTTTATAGATACTCATTTTCATTTAGGCTAGGATTTTTAAAGGAAAATAAGGGAGTTAGGAACTCAAATCACATTGAAAGGATTTGAATTTATTTCCCATAGGTGCCTTTGAAAATCCCCAAACATTAAGCTACAGGCTAGTTTTTTTTTTTTAATCTAACGCACCGTTATAAAGAGAAGCAAAATTAAATTCAGATAGGTGCTCTTCGTTTTATAGAAAGGCATATTATGATGACATTTAAGTGTTCCCTTAACTGTTACTAATATTAACATATTAAAAAAAGAGAACATTTAAAATGTACTTTTCACCCTTATGATATGCTGCATTTATTTTTTGAATATTAACCTTTGTCAGTAAAAAACTCCTAATAGTTTCACTTTCTTTCTCATGAGTTTTGCTTCCCAGTTGTTACACACTACAGTATTCTTGTTGAGTTCACAACACTGCCAGGAAATAAAACTTCTGTTTCCATTTAATTAAGATGTGGTCCTAACAATTCTGCTCATGTTAAATTTAACAACCTTTTTATTTCTTTTTTTTAAATATCTAGACTGTGTATGAAGAGAGTCTAATTGCAAGAAGTATGAATAATGCCTCTGAATTATAGCACATAGAGTCCATCTTACACTTTTACAGTTATTGATTAATTACAGCAAGGCAGAGCTTCAAAAATTAACAGCGGTATCAATTAATCTAGAGATCAAGGCTACTAATCATGGTGAAAAATACTTTTGCTACCATGCCTCCTGCAATTTAAAATGACTAACATTTGTACACTGTTCATTCTGTATTGTATTTAGGTTTGGCAGAATTCAATTTTTTTTTTTTTTTAAATAGTTTTGACAGATAAACATCTGTGGCTGCCGTATGTCAGATGACTTGGGCTCGCAGGGAATCAGGCTAAGGGGCTGTTTAATTGTGGTGTAGACATACAGGCTCAGATTGGAGCCCAGGCTCTAGGACCCTGTGAGGAGGAGGGACAGAGAGCTTGGACTCTAGTTGAGCCCAAACATCTATACCACAATTAAACAGCCCCTTAGCCCTAGCCCTGTGAGGCCAAGTCAGCTGACACAGGCCAATCACGGATGTTAAATTGCAGTGTAGACATACCCTTTATGGATCCAGAGCACCACTCTACTGCTCAGAGCTTTCCCAAGCAGCAGCAAGCCGAAATCATGGTTGCCCACAGGGTTCTGAGTAACTAATACATTGATAACTAATGAAATATAATTTTGACTCTGCTGCAGCTTGGGAACGCTATGACCAGCAGCAATGCAGGCATTACAGCTGCATAAGGCTTCAGACAGACAGTACTGCATCATTTTACACTCTGTTCATATTTGGAAGGTTCTCTTCTTTCCACAGTCTCTTAAGAACTAGAAACTTTTAGTTTAAAAAGCTTTGATTTTGCTGAATTAAATGGCATTCAGCCAGGAAAGATTCCTGTTGCCCCAAGCAAGTGGATTTTTGAAGCACTGCAGCAAAGGAGTTTCTTAGTTTATATGCTCTTTTATGTAACATTAAGAAGGACTATGTATCAGGAAAGAACAAGGATGGAGAAGACAGCTCACACTATAGTAGTGTCAGCCATTGGAAGAAACATATGAAAAGGTTGTGACGCTTTAATGAAGAGATCTCAGATGAGAGGAAGAAAATGTATCATTGCATCTGGACAGATTTATTTTAATGGTACTATAATGCTGTTTGCAATTCAAGTATTTGTAAGTTACCTTTTGGGTCTATACATTTGTCCTGTGTTGCTGGGTTAGGTTCTTTTCAATGCTCAGAAGATGGGTTTAATGAAACAGCCCATTAATCTGGCAGATCATGCAATAGGATTTAGAAACTGCCTCAGGACTCCACATATCAGAGATGATACTCTTAGTAATATGTTGGAGTATGCTGATTACACAGTGGTTATGGATTCCTTAAGAGCAGACTTCTGTACTTCAGCTTCAGATATGGCTGCAAGAATGGCAGTCTTGTATTCACAGGAAGCATATGCACCTGCTTTTTTTCAACAACAGGAATGAGACAGCCTAACCTATATTTATTTTATATATATTTCAATGACACCCCAACAGTCAGTTCATGCACTGGGAGGAGAGGACACACACAAAAATCAGCTACCTGAGCTTTCAGCTTAGGCCTGACTACACAAAGAAGTTGCCTTGTTTTAACTGAAATCAGTTTTAAAATCAGTTTAGTTAAACTAGTGCAAGCCCCTATATTGACACATTTAGCAGTTTAAACCTGGTTATATCAGCTTATCCAACACCTGCTAATTTACCAGCACAAGCCAAACCGATCTAAATAGATTTCAACCTGGCTTGTGAGAGCCCACAAAGGGTTTTGCAATGGTTAAACTAAATTGGTTTAAAAAGACACCTTTAGTTAAACCGGTGCAACTCTGTGTTTAGAGTAGGTCTTTGGGAACAGAAAGTAGTTCCTGTGTATGGTGTGGGCTTCTAAATTTTGAGCCAGGCAAAAATGGGGAAGAAAGCTAGAGCCAATTTTTCACAGGTCAGATATAAAGTGTAAAGCAAAAGTCCAAAAACAAAATAATGCAAAGTATCCAGTTTAAAGCTCTGTAAAAAACATCACAATTTAGAAGTTAGTTGAACACAGCATAATGCTCCAGAGAAAGCTTGTCAAGATCTTTAATTAACTTATTGATCTAGAAATACTTGCACCAGAAAGAGAGCTTTTAGTCAATCAAATAGGCTGAACTGGTGTCCTTCCATTAAAAAGCCTGGATATGGTTTTCCCCAGTGTCGAAGAAAAGTTTTCCAGCATCCAGAATGATCAGCAACAGATTTTCCAAAATGGATTTTCCTTGTAATCATGAAAATGTAAAACAGAATTTTCAGACATGTCTCTTCTCTCTCTCTACCTCATCTATCTACCAAGTCTATAGGATTTTATTGACAAAAGCAAATACTATGCTATCCTCTCTCACTCTGTAAAAAGAGGCGCACAGACGCTTCAGAATTTGTAACACTGTAGCTAGGTGGCAACTGAGAAACTATCACTTACATAGCCCCATATAGCATGATGGCTGAAAGCATCACATCTGAAATGCTCCCAGTCCTCTGCATCCCAAGAATATTACATTCTTTTCCTGTGAAAAATTAAAATTTATAAAAACAAATTGTTTGAAGTCTTAGCTGCCTGCTCAATTAATGAATGGAACTAAACAGCTGTAATACAGTAGCAAGCAGCCAGTTGTCAGCACAAATTCCCTCCAGAAGTCATTAGAATAAAGTACAGTACGGTTTTGATCAAAAGAGTGACTATGTAAAAATAGCATCTTACTCAATGGTTTTGTTCTATGTAATCTGTCGTAGCTGTTTACTTTTAAGAGAAAAAATAAGTGTGTGCTACCATTTATTCTATTAACCCTGAAAAGCTAATACAGCCATAAGAGAGTGAGCTGGATTCTTTTTCTAGCTTGTACATCAACAAAACTGTTAACCAAGCTCCAAATGCAGAATCTTGAACTAGTGATGTGAGAGTCAAAGAATAACTTGAGTCTCTGATCCCAGGCTGAGCTTGCAGCATTCACAATTTAACAATACACCTCTACCTCGATATAACGCTGTCCTCGGGAGCCAAAAAATCTTACCACGTTATAGGTGAAACCGCATTATATTGAACTTGCTTTGATCCACCAGAGTGCGCAGCCCCACCCCCCTGGAGCACTGCTTTACCGCGTTATATCCGAATTAGTGTTATATCGGGTTGCGTTATATCGAGGTAGCAGTGTATTTACTTGTAAACAAAGCAAGTTTGATACAGAAGTCATTGGAACAAATGTAGAATGCCAGAGTGCTTTTTTGAGCGTCAGTTGTCACTGCATTTTCAAGAGTATTTTCTGGGGATCTTGTTATACATTCTGAGTGAGTATTTTAGAGCTCCATCTTAAAGGAAAGCAGTTTTTAACCTAGACTAGTCCAAAATGGGCCCTTGAGGTTGTAGCACATATGCCAAGCTAATGTCTTGGCTGGTGGTTCAAAATGCTATCATACAGGAGATCTGGGTGTAGACAGACTCATAAGAAAGCAAAATAATAAGGTGTAAGCTTCTGTCACTGCACTCTCGGATTATGAAATTGTTTTGTTTTTAAATATTACATTTTACTTTGTGTTAGCCAAACTAATTCCAGGCAAAGGAGAAGGCCCATTCCAACAAAACACTCTAAATATTACTACTCTGTATGCTTGTCCAGCTAATGTACTACAGTGAACGTTGTACTTCCTGGAAATAAGTGAGAGGAATTGTTGCACTGAGTAATGCAAAGCCATTTCAGCTTAGCACACTGGTACATTACTGGGACAAAAACAGAGCAGAGACAATGGGAAAAGAGGAGGCAGAACAGAAATAAATAGAAGAAAGGAAAAATAAAAACTATCAGTACTAGAAACAGTCTCTCTTGTCAGCCACCAGAAGTTTAGACATCAGGAAGTGAGAGAAGCACTGAAAAAGGCCTGAGTCATCTGAGTCAAGGTAGGAAAAATGAAAATAAGATGACAAGAAAAAGGAAGCGGTGAAGAGTCCCTTCTTCTGGCATTATGAATACCTCAAATTCACATTTTTCAATTGTTTTCAAGTGAAGCTTCTCCAACTTACTGGTTGATTTGGGACTCAAATATATTCAGCTTCTTTCTTTGGTATCTATTGCTTCTCCTCTGCTTACATTAAGACAATTACAATACCCAACTACTGTTCCTCACTATGTTTCAGTCTAGCATCAACTTAGCCAAGGTGCAATGTTGCACTGACTTCACTGACCAGTGTAACCTTTTGTGTGGCAAGCTGTAAGGCTTTATCTCTGTACAAAATTAAGAGTTTAGATAGCATCCAAACTTCCAATTAAACAAAAGCTGTAATTATTTTCTTCTCATCCCCTTAGCCTGCATCCATCCTTGCATCCTCTGAAGTCTGGGTGAGGGTGGGAAGAGTAACTTATGTATACAACAAATTTTACCTTCAGAAGGGACTGGGGGGAAAAACAGAATGAGCTCAGAGAGGGCTCCACAAAGACATAGAGTAGAAGGTATTTTCTGTATTGTGTTAAAAAAAAAAAAAAAATGTATGAACTATAGATACCTCACAAGACAAATTAAATACAAATTAAAGTTAGTCTTACCCATTAATGTTGCTAGAAGACACAATGAGTACATTTCTTTATCAACTTGCTCTTGCAACTCCTTGGAAGATATTTTACTGGTTACTGCAACATCTTCATATTTCACAGCATGAGTTGAGGGTGCTGAAGTAGACTGACTACCTTCTTCCTTACCTTTGAAGATCTCTATAGTTATTTTATCACCATGCTGCAAGGGAACTGGCTCGTTTTCCATTCCTTCCTTGGGTGGCAGAAGCTCTTTGGGAGGAAAGCCATAGCGAATACATTGCAAGTATGGAGGAATATTAAATTCTCTGGCTATACTTTCCTGCAGCTCCACGAATGTGGTTGTGGACTTCAATGTAAGCATAGACTGTCGCCCATCATTTGTTGTTATTCGGATCTTCTTTTCTTTTGTAGAAGTTGGAGAATAAGGGGTCTTTGTAGGCGTAGCAGGAGCAGATGATGGCCCATCACGAACAGCGGCAGGGGAAGTAGTCCTAGGTTGCCCTTTTTGTTCTTGTTTTAATTTTTCAGTTTTCCGTTTCTGCATTACAGAAGCCTGGTCTGCAATGTTCTGTTGAATAGTTCTTTCAGTTTTACTCATATTTAACTCTTCCTTGTGCAAAGTTTTCATTTTCTGTCCAGTAAGAATAATTTTGGTTGGAAGTTGCGACTCTAAGTCTTGTCCTTGTTGTATATCATCAGCTCTTTGCGCATGAGCACTATCAATATTTACAGGAGTATAATCATCAGGGTTCTTTTTGGCAGTCTGATGTAATATTGTATTGACAACTTTCTGAACAAGAATCTCACTACCAAATTCACCAGGAAAATGTTTGGTAACAAGTTTCATTGCAACATCATACACATTACTGTTAAGAGTTGTATCACTTTCATACTGGAACCAATATACAGTCTCTCTCACCACTCTTCCACCCCATTCTAAAGTAATAGGAAAGGCTTCAGGGAGATTGTCATATTCTTTACCATCCCAATAGTGCTTGAATCCACAGCCACATTTGCCACCAGTGGATCTAGTATTAGTTCTGTCCCCATCCAGATACACAACAGATCCATCTCCCCTGACACGACGCACCAAGGTACCATGACACCAGTTACAAGCAGTCAAACTACTCAGACTGTAGTCTGGTACCAGGACATCCTTCACAGAATTATAAGAGCACACCAAACTGTTCAGAGGGAAACTGTAATTTTTGTCAGGCCTCAGCTGGCCATGGGTACTTTTGGCCAGGTTATACAGTTTCCCTCCTGGAGCCAGCCATTCTGGAGGAACATGAAGCTCTGAAAGGGCACCACAGATTAGACACTTGTGAAGGCGGTTATCCACGACTGCTTTTTTGGCAGCTGCAGTAACATCTTCAGGCTGAACTCCTATTACACCAGTCCTTCTGTAAAAATACTGATGTACATCAGCTACTAAACTGGGATGAATACCATGCTTATTCATGAAAACCTCTTCCATTGCAGCAACCAGCCTCAGTAAGTATTTGTCTTGCAAACTTCTATCTCCTCCAATCACACAACCATCCTCCTCCAGTTTGATGTACTTTTTGATGAGATCCTGAGGAACTCCCCAAGCTTTAGGAAGTAATTTCATAGGCAGTTTCGGTAAAGCAGCACCTTTTATTCCAACCAGAGGAATATAATGGTTACGTCCAGAGCTACTCCAGGCAATACAGATAGGTTTGTTCAACATGCCATCTTTTCCCATGCATTTCTCTACCGGTACCAGCCCAGGGAGGAAAGTGGCTGAGTAATCTCCAGAACTGCGCATTCCACTCAAGGAATCCAGCAAGATGATGGGCCGGTGAAGCACATTGGCCAAACCAAAGATGTGAATGTTTCGCAGGCCCAATGGCACACCTTCTGGAGGGACAAACAAAGGGTCACACTCATTGATTATGTCCTCCCACTCTACTGCGTCAATGAAATCATGGAATAGAGCCTTGTAGCGGCTCAGGTTCTCCTTGAAGTGCTTCTTCAGGTTCTCCCGGAGAGCATGCCAGAACAGCTCCCTGCCCACCAGTGCCCGTGAGACAGCATGGACCAGGCAGTGGCCGTCACCATCCACGTGGACAGGGATCAGGCAGTCCTGGCTGTTGTTGGCTTTCTTGATGTCCTCCAGGGTGTCATGCAGGTAGAGGAGGCTGCCGGAGCGGTCCTTGCCATAGCCCATAGTGTCAACATGCTCGGGCTCGATGAGGAAGGCGCGGTCGCCCAGGAGAGCACAGTCAAAGATATCCCCCTGGTTCATCTCGGTGAGAAGCTTGGCCTTGCCCGTTTGCTTGTCCATGCCATAGCGGGCCAGGATGGGGGAGAGCAGCTTGCAGTGGTAGTTGGACAGGCCCATAACTTTGACCAGCTCCGTGTTCTTCCTGGGGGGCCCCCCGCCGCTCACCCCCAGCAGCGCGTTCCGCAGCAGGTTGTGCAGCACCAGGTCCGGGTCCGTCACCTCCTCCACCCCCAGCAGCTGCCGCTGCTCGTGGCGCTGCCCGCAGTCCGTGCACTCGATGCTGCCGCTGCTCAGCGGCCCGTGGGCCGGGAAGAACAGGCGCGCCTGGCAGCTGGGGTCCGGGCAGGTTCCGGAGAAGATGCGCCGGTCCCGCTTTTTCGAGACAGGCGGCGGCGGCTGCTGCTGCTGCTGCTGAGAAGGCGGAGGAGGAGGCGGCGGCGGTTGGGACATCGCTCCGCAGTGGGCAGTCTCCCCCCCTAGCTTCTCTCCCCTCACAAGCTCATCCCCTCGCCCCGGGTAACGGCCGGAGCCCGACGGATTCCGCCCCTTCCCCCAACCGCGGCGCACCAAGCCTCCCACGGAACGCGGAAGCCACCGGCACCACCGCTTACTGCTTCTTCACTGCCCCGGCCGTTGCCTGCAATGCAACGGCCTTCCACGCAGACGGCGCAGGCGCGACGCTGCTCAGCCAGCCGGGAATTGTAGTTTTCTCCGCGAGAGGAGCCAGGCTGTTGGCAATAGGAGATTGGATAGTTCCAGAACTACAAGTACCGTCATGCAATGCGTTGGGAAGGGTACGGGAGAGAGAAGAGGTAGGCGAGATTAGCTCCCAATGGTTTCTGGGAGATGTAGTCTTTTGTGTTGGTCACCGGGTCGGCAGGGGAGGAAGCTTGCGGAAGAGGACACAATTCCTAGAATGCTTTGCGGTATCCTGTTTGCTTCCCGTTTTTTCTGGGTTGGGGAAGGGTAGCTGCTGCACTTAAGGTGACACACGCCCGTCGCCCAGTGTGACTCAGAGCCTGGTAGCCAGCCCAGCACAGGCGGTGGGGACTGGCGCTCCCAGTGAGCAGATCCTTGTCGCCGGCGGCCAGGAACGCCTGGCTCTCTCCTTGCCCGCCTCTGACTGCGGCTGATGAGCCCCAGCCAGCTGGGCCACGAGAAGATGAAGGCGCTTTAGGGCCAGTGTTATAAAGCCTGGTGCACTAATCATACAGGTGGAGCAGGAGAGAAGACATTAGAAAGGAGCTGCACTTTGCGAGGGTACTGAATCTTCAGTAGTTGTCCTTCTACATGCCCCAGCAAGCCCCTGGGCATCATGGGGACTCCATGCAATGCTTCGGTGAGGGACAAGGCAAGGAGGGGAACAGGTTGCGATAGAGGGACCTAGACTGAGAAAGGAGCTAGACTGAGAAATGGCCAAGAATTTTCCAGCATCTCAGGATCTATACAGGGCATCCCACAATCTAGACATGGTGCGGCAGATGGCAGCTGAACTGGTTCGGCAGATGAGAATCACTGCAGGCTTGAGCTGGGGCAGTTTTCTGGATGCTAGTAAAAGCTACAATCAGTATTTCAAAAGGATAAATGTGGCCTCACAGGCAGGACTTATATTAAAGGGGGGAAAGATGGCCATACTCTTCCAAACTCAGCCCCCCCCTCATCCTATGAGTCATCAGAATGAGACACTGCTCACCCTTGCATCTGAAGAAGAGAGGTTCTTACCCACGAAAGTTTATGCTCCCAATACTTCTGTTAGTCTTAAAGATGCCACAGGACCCTCTGTTACTTTACACTGCTCACAGTAGATTGTGTGGATATTCAAAATACAATTGTGCATGCTTTGTGAGATCCACTGGGCTCCTGGAGCTTGGCTCCCCTTCAAGCATATTCAAGTGTCATGTCAGGCTCCTTGGGCTTGGCTCCTTCTCGATTGGAGGGTGGGAGATTAACAAAGAAAAGGCGGCATCTCCCATTTGTCACTTATTTGTGGCACTAAAATGAGATATCACAGTAAATTGTGCAGATCTGTGATTTTCATTTCTCAGGTAAGAACGCAGAGAGACATAGGTAATAGTGTTGGCATTTAAATTATCATCACTGGACACCTGAAATAACATCACTAAGATGAAAGGGGCAGTTCACACCTCTCTGAGCTATTGTTATTGACTCTGCTTATTCATGGGGACATCTCTGCAAGAGTTACTGTTGCTTCAAATTTTTTAAGTTTTCTTCACAAACAGCTAAATACTTAGTTTTTTCAAAACATGAAAGCTGAGATTTTGGTGAACAAGATAATGTTCCAGTGAGGTGCTAGTACATGATACTGCTGCCAGGGATGGCACGGTATTTACCTGAGGTAATTTTTACCAGGTAAAATCATGGTTTTTACAACCTTGGGAACAACTAGCTAGTACTAGTTTAAGGCATTTTCTATTTTAAAAACTGTTTCATTAATACACACCACATTACACTTAGTTTTAATTACATAGTCAAATTGTGGTTACATAAGAATAGATTCAGAGGTTAATTTAGGCTTGTACAAATAAAAAGTAAAATTGGCTTGGGCATAATACTAATATATGTAATTATCATACTGAATATCAGAATGTCTATACATTTTGGTTTGGTATTTTCTCAAGGAAGTTATCCATGTCATGACTCATATTTCAGTTTTCAATATTATATAAACAGAAGTAAAAAACATTTGATTTATGAAAATGACAATAATGCAGCATTGTAGGCTTGAAGCATTAATCAATCAGAAGCATGCAGAGTTTCAGACTACTAGTCCAAGTCCATTTGGCCATGCAGCAGTCTGTAGCAGAAAACCTACTTGGATATAGTGGACAGACCCAGCCTATTCCTCAGTTCGGAATGGAAAGTATCCAAAATTGGAAAAAAATTGTTCTATACTTGCTGGACACTGATGCAATTATTTTTCCCAGTTTAAACTGGGTTTAAGCTAGTATTTACCAGTGCCCTGTCCTAAACTAACAGGAGTACTTGTGGCACCTTAGAGACTAACAAATTTATTAGAGCATAAGCTTTCGTGGGCTACAACCCACTTCTTCGGATACAGACTAACACGGCTGCTACTCTGAAACCTGTCCTAAACTAGTTTTTCCCAGGAAATTGCCAACCCTGACTGCTACATACCCTACTCATGAGGGAGCAAAAGTGTCCACCTCTCCCCCTGCTCTGCACTTGGCCACAATATTGCCTCCACCATTCTCTCTCTTCCCAGACTCCCCAGCAGAAGTAGCTGGTGTCAGTCCCAGTCCTGGTCCACTTGATTCATTTCCTTCTAACTCACCCAGTTTGGTATTGTGACAGATATTGCAACCCCATGCAGTATCTTTGGGGATCATTGTATTGAACTTATGAATGTTTTCTGTATGATGGTGTCCTACTCCATGGGGGAGGGTTATCACAACTCCTCCACGAACTAAAACAATTCCAGAGAAGCAGCACAGATCTGCCTGTGTGTATATATCATTGTAGGGCTGAATCCTGCAGCCCTATGTCTATGGGCTTTATTCTGCAGCCTTAACTCATGTGGGCACCTATTCACTAGGTACTGGACTGAAACAAATTCATTTTTCATAGGGCACCATATATTGATTGCTATAGCTCTGGACTGGATTTGAATTCATGACTCAAAAGAAGTTGTATAGCCCTTTACCAACTGTCTAAGCCAGTAATTCTTAACTTTTCACTCCCATAACCCCATGTTACAACAGAAAAAAATGTCAGCATCCCCCTCCACCTAGCCATTATGAACAGGAAGATGGTCCTGATGCCCAGGTTGAGAATTCATGATTTAATTAATTCAGTCCTTCCTACTATGTACTTTCCTTTTCAGCTAATATCCTGCAGTGCAAACTATAGGGCTGATCAAGTACCCATTGAAATTAATGGAAGGGGTCCCATTTGACTTCAGTGGTTAATTTATCAGGCCCGTGGCCCAGATCCTGCAACAAAATACACCCACCTGGTGCCCTGAAGCTCCACGTGGGCACAAAGGTCTGCCTGTGTCTTACTGCAAGATTGGGGCCATAATTTACATTGCTGCATATCACTGAAAACAAAAACACATAGTAGAAAGAACTGAATGGCTTAGGTGATTGTCAAAGACCTATTCAAACTTTCTCACCTTGCTGCTGACACAAATCTAATCCAGGGTTGCAGTCGTCAGTTTTTGGTGCCCAGTGAAAAGTGAAACGATGGTCTCATTCTAATTTCTAGTTAACAAGTGCCCATATTACATACGCCCGCTATCTCATAAGTAGACCTATGGAACTGCTCATGAGCTAGGGCTGCAAGACTGGGCCCATCAACTGTCCTCAGTGCACCCTACTTAATTCCATTGAAGCTTTGCCTTGTTGGTAAAGGCTGCTGGTTGTTACTTTGAAAAATCACATGACAGTTGCATATCTATGGCAGGTAACATGCCTCTGAATTAAATCATCCTTAGCCCCAAATTTACCTGAACCATTTTCAAATGTTATTTCACTTTTACTATCGTAAATTATTTACATCAGAAATGTAAAATTGTGGACTAGAGTTTACAGAGAATAATTCTTCTTCGCCTTGTCCCATCAATTGGGGTTGGTGGCTCTTCTTCTTCATCTCCAAATGTTCCTGTCAAGTGCATCTCCCAACATGATACCTACCTTCTTCATGTCCCCCTTCAGCGTCCTGAACCACCTTTTTCTAGGTCTTCCTTGTGGTCTTTGTCCTGTGACTAATAGCTCTTGTACTTCCTGGCCACATATCCTATATCTCATTGTCTCTGAGAATATTATACTAAAGAAATGGATCCTATGTTGTTAATCTGCGATTATCCCCATTTTACAATTTACATGGTGAGTTTAAGTGACTTCCTGAAGTCACAGTGAGTTAGTGTTAGATCCAGGACTAAAACTCAGGAGTTTCTGGATAAAGCGCTGTGCAAACATTAAATAATTAATTGAATAATTAATCCAATTAATTTGTTGTGAGAATCAATGCAGCAAGTTATATAAATGTTAAGTATTAATTATTAATTGAGCTTCCTTCTTGTGCTGATTATTTTGTCCCATATTTGAGCTTTGAGAAGTTGGAAGTTATAACAGGAATCATTTCACAATGGGAGTTTCACCTCCCTCTGCATCTGGGATAATTTACATCTAAAAGTTAGGATGTTATCCCAACAGGTAATGAACACTTACAGTTCTAATTGACTTCAGTGGGAATTGGAAGAGCTTAGCACTTCCAAGGACCAGGACTGAAGCCAGCTTTACAAGGTCTTTGGTTTTTTTGGTGTGTTTTTTTCTGGTCCCGTTTTGGTTTTAAAAGACTGTGATAAAACACACATCGAGAAACCCTGCTTATGAATTAATCATCTAAGCCTTTATCATTTAAATGTCAGCTGCATGCATTATCTTTTATCAACATCTGAACTACATTTCATAGAAATGAAATCAAC